TTCATTATAGCAATAATTATAAATTAATTCAAAATTTATCTAAATATTAAAAGATAAAATTTTGAAGATCTAAAAATTCAAAAAGTTTTGTTTGAAGAATTTTTTTATTCGTTGACAGGAATTCAAGTACATTAAATTGAACACGGATGCTGTATGCAGAGTTTACACGATCAAAGATCACCATATAACCATGATAGCAGGAGATGATCTTGAGAGTTGCCTATGCTGTTGCCTTGATCGTTGATCGCATGGGACAGTTCTAGTATTGAATACAAAGTCACAAAATATTTACGATCGATAATTTCACCAGTATCAAAAGTAATCGGACTACGGGCTAGGAGAAGGGCTCTGTTTGGTCTAAAGCAGCCAGGTGAGGAACCAGACGCTAACATTGGGCAAAAGCTCCTGCACCTAGTTAGGGACATAGGCTTACCCAGTTAGTGGCAAGCAGGATGCACAATAAGCTTCGGTTGACGTGCTTGGACCATGAGTCCACCCTCTTACAATCAATCAATCAATCAGAATCAGAATTGGCCCATCTTTATTCAAGAACTAAACTCCAAATTCCACAGTTCAATCCAGGTTTTTTCAGTTGCAAAATTCACAGCTCGTTTTCAAATTTTTTCACAGTGATTGTGGGTACCCTGATACAGTGATACAGTATAAGTACTTTAAAAAGGAAACAAAAACACAAACATTAAATAAAACACAATAAATAAAGCCATATTCTATACAGAGTGATAAAATCAATATCACACATTTTAAAAAGCTGTAATTAATTATTAAATAAAACATAACAGAACCAGATGTTTTTACATTATTCTAAAGAGAATATAGAACGTTTCTATTACAAAACAGTAAATTCTCCAAAATCACAAAACTTTAATGGCTGAAATGGTACAGAAAATGTTCACCTTAGGTGAGACTTTCTCAGAAGTATGAAAAGTGGCTTCTTCACCAAAAACAACCTTTGAGATAAACGATTTGTCTCTTTCTACTGAGAATGTGGATGGAGTTGAGATCGGGTTATTATGAGTCAGGAAGCAGACATATTGAACATTTGTGAGCTTGTTTATGTGATAAAAACTTTTTGTAACTCTTTATTATCATGTGTAAGAATTGGTGGTTCTTTGATCAAACACAGATTTTTAAAATTGTGCTGCCTACTCTTTTTTAATCACCCTGTATATAATATAATGCTAATAAAACACACGACTATGAATCATAAATTAATTCATCTCACTTAAAAGAATTATTTTACACTTAAGTAACAAAAATACAATAACAACTGTTAAAAATTATAATAGATTTAAACATTTAAAGTAACTGATAATATATTATTGAGCGGAGCAAAGCTCTTATACTACACTTCTGCTTTTGTTTACAAATACTCCTCCTGAACAGCTGAAGCGATCTGCACAAAATTTAGCAAAATTTAGCAGGCTTTGGATACTGAAAAGTGAAAATAGACATTCTATCTATGCAAACCAAATATATCATTGAAATTGGATGCGGCAAGTAGACATGTAATTTATAAGAACCAGATGAAACTTAGACTTTGGTTTCTGGAAGTAGACAATTTATTTACGTAAACCAGTCTTATAATTGACTTTGGGTATTGTTAATAGACATTACTCCATTAATGTGAACCAAATACACCATTGACATTGGATACTGCAAGTATACATGCCATTTACGAGAAACAGATGTAGCATTGCCTTTAGAAAAGTATTGGATTAATATGCTAGCTCCGCTCAATATTGCAAGCAGGAAACTGCATTGTACGTACACCTATTTTACCCTGATCCTTTTATTAACAATAAAATAAAATTAATAACTACTAGATCATAGTACATTCATAAAGCTTAAAACATTATTACAATTATTATGTTTCTTTCCAAAACATTTATTTTATAAATAATCAAATTTGAATTTAATTACTTAGTTTGCAGCTAAGCTTAGTGTATTTAAAGTACCACTACCAGGGGACGGAGCATTGCTCGAGGTGTTTCATTTGTTCAAGAGGCTAAAAAAATAAAACCTAGAAGCCTACAAATATTTTTAGTTTTGCTACGATTAATTAAGTTGTAAAGTCAATTTGTTTTCGGTAGACATCATTATTAATTTACCTTACAAACCTTTTCATGTGGATGAGCAATCTATATTGAAAATTTCTACAATAAACTTCAATATATACATAACATCTGTTGACCGTTATTGCGTTAGTCACTGGGATAGCGGAACGTCACAACTAATTACGAGATCGTGGAACAAACACATAAATTCCGTAGGTGCATTGTTGAAAACTAAAAAAACATCCTTAGTCTTTTCTCCAGACTTTTAGTTAAATATTAGTGTATAATGTTTTGCGGTAAAAGACTATACGTTTTTGAACAGTCGTAATTATCCCTTTGGTTCGTAATACATCATACACCCCAAATGTATTATATAATCAATGTTCAATAGCATTCATAGGAATGTCCTTTTCTTTTGTACTGAATTTTGTACCGGTAATTTGCTACTGTACTGTAGATGATTTGTTACTAGCATACGTTACAATAAAATTCATTTGTTTACATTTTTGTAAAACTGACATAGCTACTGAAAAGTCCACAAGAATAATGTTATAAATATCAACATTTCATTTTAAGTTTTTAACAAAAAACAAATTTTCCCAGAACAGAGCCTAGTATGGATAGTGTTTTAGCCTAAAACCAAGATATTTCTAACAATTTGGAGAAAATCATAGGAGCAGTTTTTGAGATCATTGTGCGCAAACGTTACTCATATTATAATATAGATTAATAATATTATTGGTTAGCTGTGGAACAATTAATGAGAAAAGTTAGCATAAAAAGTAACTTCATAAAAAAAACTAAGTGGCTTGGCTTAACACATTCATTGCAGCTGCGTCACCGGAGACACGATGTATTGTTTGCCCAGTTAGTATGGCTCAGGATCTAACCGTGGTAGGCTAGTAAGCATTAGTATTGTGTTTCTAATACCAGTCTATAATTGTGGTGTAGGTTGGTAGTGAATTTCCCTGTAAAATCCCTGTAAGCTTAGAAATCAACCAGTCCCGTTTTTCTCCCTCCAATTGGCAATACAGTGGAACCTGGCAGGGCTGCTATATGTGAGTGATTCAGCAAACTAGTGACTCTAGTCGTAACGCAGCATATAAGCGCACATTATTTGCTATTCGACAGACCGAAATATTTGAAAGCCAATTGCCCGGCAATCGGGCTCGTTCGATACACCAGGGTGTTTCAGACTCAGCAGTGTTTACTGCTACGCCTGCCATTGATGGGACGCAGCGAATATGTTAAAGGCACTTTGTTTTTATCAGTAAATAATATTAATAAACATTGCCAAAGATCTATTACTAAATCAATATTTATCAATGTAATTAAGCTTAACAACAATCTAAATATAAATACAGAATTAATACATTGTTTTAGTGTTAAGAATTGAGGGCCAACTAAAGTGTATTTTATTCAGATCTTCTGAAAATCATAGTTTTAAGTAATTTCATACAGCTAGGTAGTGATGTAAAATACCCAGGTATTTAAAACTCGGGGTAAATACCCTGGGTATTTACCCGGGTAAATACCCAAATTCCATAAATACCCGGGTATTTTGGGTATTTATGAAATCGATTGAAATTAATTTTTATCTACCCCTAAATATGTTATAGTTATCATTACATGATAAATTAGGATATTGTCTATAACACCTTTTACAGTAACTTGAAGCTTTGCTAGTACCTTTTATTTAATGATTTAGCACTTTTTTTATGAAATCAAGACAACACCTCATCAGAGAAATAGTGAACTTAAACCTACTTCTACTGTTATTAAATTATGATAGTTGAAATTTGTATTGTGTAAATGGCTTGGAAGGCTAGACAGACCCAAGGCCTGAATGATATAGGTAGAATGGCAGAATACTGAATGTACAGTAGACTCCCTCTTATCCGGACTCCTCGGGACCGAGGCTAGTCCAGATAACGGTTTTTCTGGTTAAACCGACGTCCCCAAAAACTTGTTAAAAAGGAAACCGTGTACTGGTTCTGTCATATTCGACTTTAATTTAGGAGAGCATTGTATCATTAAGGATTTAGTCAATGATTGTATTTAGATACGTGATCACTGGTCTCAAATCTTTCCCACGAGAACAGTCGTTTCAGTACCGCTCACTTCTTGCCAATCTATTCAGGTTAAACCAATGGGCTGATAAAAATTGTCCGGTTTAAAAGTGTCCAGATAAGAGGGAGTCTACATTAAACTTTTCTGTGTTACTGCTTAGTTGGGAACAATATATTTGGATAAACCTATTAAAAAATGTATCTCCTGTTTTTTTGTCTAACTTATAATATAATTTTGAAAGATTTATTGTGCTATGGATTCAAATTTTTTGTATCACAAGTTTATGAAATTAGTTTATTTTTTTATTTTGATACCAACAAAAGATCTAGCCTAGAACAAAAATATTATAAATCCTGCCATCCTACAGATTGAATTTTAATTATTTTCTTAAGTTTTTTACCCATAGGCCACTACTAGATTAAATTTTCCTGTCTTTCTAAATAATAATTATAACTTTACAAATTATTTTTCTTCACTTTTAATAAAATAAATTCATCTATCTATTATAGAAATTAAAAAATCATAAGTAGTCAGGACCAGTGCAACCATGCGGCCAGGGTATTTATGCCGATTATGCTTTATGCTCAGACCTGGGTATTTATGGTGATCATTCCGAGAAGTAAAATGCTAGTATTGACCATATGAAATTTTGTTTAACACATTTTATTATCATTTTGCTATCCTTACAAGGTAATAATTGCAAAAAACATCTCAATCTTCTCTAACTTTAATACAAATTATAAATACCCAGTTTTTGGGTATTTACCCGGGCCTGGGGTAAATACCCAGGTAAATACCCAATTTATATTTACCTACCCACTGGGTATTTACCCGGCCCACATCACTACAGCTAGGCCTACTTATTAACTACTTTTTTTACTATTTTTTCTAATGCCATTTGCATAATTTATGTTTTTTGTAAGGGAAGGTCAAAACTAGACTCTATTAAAACTAGATTTTGAAACTGGTATCTGTTACTAAAAAGCATCATTAATTAATATCTAAAAAACAAAAGAAAGGAAAGTGGGCCCAGAACCATTTCTCAGAATCAAACCAGTAATCAAGGCAATTGTTATACCTACTCTGTCCGAATTGCATGGATAAACCATAAAATTTCTGATCACTCTGTTTGTGTTTGTACTAACCAGCTGTAAGTGGCTCTGTTACATTTATCTCTAAGCAGTGGCGGATCTAGAACAGTCACAAGGGGGGGGGCAAACCAGGAGGTCTGGGGGGGGGGGTTCGGGGGAACCCCCCCGAAAAATATGTGTAAACTAAGTCTCCAAAATAGCAGTTTTATACCATTTCTTTGTCCAAAGTTAGTGTGACAAATTATTTTACGCAATGTGTATGCACTACTGTATTACATGCAGTTAAAAATATATGTATATGTATGCTCCAGGGGGAGGGGGCGGATGCCCCCTTCGCCCCCCCCCCCTTTAGATCCGCCACTGTATCCAAGACTATTTGATATTTTATCCTTTGACTTCAACCTCAAAGGTTATTCATAGCAGCAATGTTCCACACGTAGTTTAATACAGTAACTTAGAAAACATATCTAAAAATATTTAAGTCCTCATAAGTTGCAATGTTGAGATTTCATTATAGTAATTTTTTTCAGACTGACTTTATCTTAAATATAAGGAAAGAAAAGATGTGACGTATGGTATGGTACTACTAGTACTCCACGGTAATACACTTGACTTTTGTGTACTCATTCAAGGCTTCCTCTCCTAAACAAACGGAAACATATGTCAGAAGTCATGTAAAAAATTGAACATAAACTTTTCACCATTCAAAACTAGAATACATTTTAGTAACAACCAAATTAAAACTGTAACAAACTTTCAAACTATATTTCTAAATATATTGCAAAATAGAAAACATCGCTCAGCTTGAGAATTACCTGGAGGGTTATAAAGTGAAGATCGGCTAGTGGAGATTCCTTTTGAGTGTAAGAAATCACTCAGTTCTTTTGACATGAAAACAGATCCTTGGTTTGGAGTGGACAAAAGCAGGCATACCAATCAGGTAGCTCTGCAGGTAATAAGTAAAAACTCACTCCTATTACATTTAGTAAAATTACAAAACTTAAAATGATTTTTAGCCCTTTTTGCAATATAGCTTAAATTTAAAAATAAAATTAGTACAGAGCTATATGAACGTATAGGGTGTCCCACGAAGGGGTTTAAACGTTTGATTTTATATTACGCGCCTATTCATGCACCGAACTTTTTGAAACTTTACACAGTTTACAAAGTAGGTTCTAAAAATATTCTGGAAAAATTTCAACTCCCTAACCTTAGTAGAAACAAAATGGCGGCATATTGAAAAACGTTACTTTAAAAACATTAAAAAAGGTATTTTTGGTTTTATAAAATATTTTTATTGTTACTTTCCAGGGCAATTTGACTTTTAAATAAAAAAAAAACTAGAACATAGCCTAATGGAAAACTAAAAATAAATCAAATAACTAATAAATAATAATAATAAATAAATAACTAATAATAAATCATGAAAGTAGTTTTTATAGAAAGCACATTGATAAATTTGTCAATATGCCGCCATTTTGTTTCTACTAAGGTTAGGGAGTTAAAATTTTTCCAGAATATTTTTAGAACCTACTTTGTAAACTGTGTAAAGCTTAAAAAAGTTCGGTGCATTAATGGGCACGTAATATAAAATCAAACGTTTAAACCCCTTCGTGGGACACCCGGTATTTTGAACATATGTTTAACAACCTGGGATTTCTTGAATAATTAGCGAGCAACTGTAGACTTCTGCATAATATTTTGAGATGGTTTAGATCTGTCGTAGAAAGACCAAAAACATTTCCCTTTGGAGTAGCTGACATCTTGAAAACCCATGTTAATTGTAAATTGACGACATGAGACACACACTCAGATGACATTTTTTTAAATCATAAAATTTGTAATATCGTTTGTTTAATTTTTATCAAATACTCTGTTTTAAAATAACCTTTAATAGACAGAAGATTTTTAAAAATTGATTCCTTTTCCTCCAAGAAAGTTGTATGTTACATACCAAGATCTTTCCCGAAGCCAGATTGTTTGAAGCCACCAAAGGGAGCAGCCACATCAGTCTTGTTGTAAGTGTTGATGAAGACTGATCCAGCCTCAATCCTCTCAGCAAAGTTTAAAGCACGATTGATGTCCCTTGTAAATATGCCTGATGCCAGGCCATACTCTATGCTGTTCAATCTCTTAATTAAGGAATCCATATCACTGTGAAAAAAATTAAAATATAAACTATGATCACCTTAGTTAAATATCTTATAACATAGCTAACTTTGAAATAAAGATTTATTATTAAATCCTACAGTTAAAACTAGAGTCTACAAAATATTTTTTGGAAAAGTAGCATTATTTTTAGAAAGTTTGAAACAGAAAAATAAATTTATATTCATTTGTACAATGCATAAAGGCAATATTTTAAATTTGTTAACATATTTTAACATATTTTACTTCAAGGTTAGTTTTGTTCAAGGAAAGGGTCTAAGTCAGGATTTTGAATTATTTTAGTAAGGAGGATAGTAGCTAGCTTACCTTGAAGAAGGTGTAGGTAGGCCATAGAACATAGAGAAGAGACACTATAAACACAATATTTCGCCCCCTGAGGGACTTTAATAAGTGTAGAGAAAGTGGTTAACTCTTTACAACTTTTTCTACTCTTGACAAAGTCTTCCAGGGGACAAAATATTGTTTGATGGCCTACCTACACTTCAAAGTAAGCTAGCTGCTGGGGCTATAGAATACAGGGGCTGGCTCACGTCTTTGATGTAGCAATTGCCGACATGGTCCCGTTCCCCCCTCCCTGTGACGTCACTGCGAGGACAGTCGAGCCGATTGCCATTACGCGGCCAGAGAAAATCTTGCTCTTTTACACGCTTCCCTACCTTTGTACGATTATATTTTAATATGAATCTTACATCGTTTTATTCTGCACTAACTGGAGAATTTTAATATCTAAACAGTTTTACGACGGCCCTGAAGGGACATTCCAGTTTCTTTTTGTCTTTCATTCACTTCCGACTTTTATCTCGAAGTACTTCGACTTTATCCTCGAAGTACTTCGACATTATTCTCGAAGTACTTCGACTTTATTCTCGAAGTACTTCGACATTATTCTCGAAGTACTTCGACATTATTCTCGAAGTACTTTGACATTATTCTCGAAGTACTTCGACTTTATTCTCGAAGTACTTCGACTTTAATCTCGAATGTGCTTATTATAGTTTGTTATAATTTTACGGCAACCACAACCCAACTAACTGTTGATGTAGGGGTGTTTCTGATGTAGACATATTTTTGATAAGAATTGGCAGATAGAAAGGGGTTTGAGCTTTAGGACACATAATGGAATATGGCATTAATGAACTGATTGAACAATATTTTAGTTTAGGCCTTCAACAGCCTGAAATACTTGCAATTCTTTTATTGAAGCATAACATTTGCATAAGTGAGCGGACACTTAAAAGGTATACCAAGAAGCTCGGACTTCATAGAAGGAAACACTTTTCTGATACCAAGGATTTTATTAGGCCTGAGTGCGACAGAGACGAGAGACAGTGAGACAGCAGACAGAGAAAGAGAATGAATCAGAAACAGAATAGAACGAACGTATTCGTATTGAAGTTGAGTTGAAGTAAAACTAGACTAGATAGAAATGTCGAAGTACTTCGAGAAAAAAGTCGAACTACTTAGAGAAAAAAGTCGAAGTAAAATGAAAGACAAAAAGAAACTGAGTGTCCCTTCAGGGCCGTCGTACAGTTTTTAGTTTGAGACAAGTGAATTGGTTTTATAGTTAAGCAACAAACGTAGAGGAGCTAGAATAATGAAAAGTCACTGAGACTGTGTTGCTCTAACTAGTTCAGTCCACAAGGGTTCCCAAATTTCCAAGGGTCAATTGAAATTTGTTTTTACCTAAACACGGTCGCGAGAGTTTTTGTTTGTAGGAGAAGGCTCAGAACTCCATCCAGACTCGAAGCTCAAAGGTTTATTCTGTAAGGCTCATCATCACCAACTCCTACCTTCTGGGTGTCAGGGGAGCAACCCTGGTTCCCCGAAACAAACAAAATTGAAAGTCAACGTCGAGCGATTGTACTGTGATCACTAACTTCTAACACAGTCGATCAATTGGTACTAGGTTGTAAGGGAGCGCCCTAGTTGCCAAAACGACTGAAGGTGAGAGTTGACTTCAAGCGATTGTACCTTGATTCCTAACTCCTAACAAAGTTGATCAACTGGTACTGGGTTGTAAGGGAGCGCCCTAGTTGCCAAAACGACAGAAGGAGAGAGTTCAATCAAATCAAATCATTCTTTATTCATTATACATAAAATAACATGTATTGAATAGAGTCAAATAGGCTATAAATACATATATCTACATATTACAAAGTGCTTAAAATATACTATTAAGATAAGTGAAGAGTTTCTAATTGAATATATTAAAAATATAACACTATTGCAATCACAATAACATTAGCAGTTATTAAAATAAAAAACATATACCCATTTTCCGGGCTTAGGTAAAAATATACAAAGAAAAGAAAAAGTATTACTAATCATTGTGAAAATTTAAATTGTTCCCCTAATTTGGCTATGGAGTTCAAATTATGTAAGCTACTAATTTTTATTTAAAAAAAATTCTTCTCTGGAATAAAGTGGAAATTTAATTGTTGACTTCAAGCAATTGTACCTTGATTCCTAACTCCTAACAAAGTTGATCAACTGGTACTGGGTTGTAGGGGAGCGACCCTAGTTCCCGAAACGACTGAAGCTGACAGTTTACAATTTACATCAAGTGATTGTGTCTCGATCGCCAACGGCGAATAAAGTCGGTGAACTGGCACTGGGTGTCAGGGGAGCGACCCTGGTTCCCAAAACTATTAAAACTGAGGGTTAACGTTGACCGATCGTGTCCCGATCGCTGTCAGCGAATAAAGTTGATGAAGCGGTACAGGGTGTCAGGGGAGCAACCCTGGTTCCCAAAACGCTTAAAACTGAGAGTTAACGTCGATTGTGTTTTGATCGCCAATGGCGAATAAGGTCGATGAACTGGCACTGGGTGTTAGGAACCAATTCTTTCTTGACCTTTGTACTCTCTCATCGAGTGTCCACCACACACACAGACCCACCGCAGCTCAGACACAGTCCACTGCCGTTCATCATTACGATTACATCATCCAGCATTACGCTACCCACAATAATTATAAACTCTAAACTTAAACTTATAACTCTAAACTAGTATCTTTTATTTGCCCTGGCAAAGATTTTATCGAAAGGAATCTTTATTTTACTGATTATTTTGGGAGAGATACTTTTTAGTTTGTGTTCTTTAAACTTTTAATAAGTGACAGTGCAAGTGTACAATACTGGACAGGATAGAGACGCCATCATGGCCGACCAACAGCAATGAAGATGGGTTACCCCAGCCAGACGCCGCCGATCTACACCTCCACAATATCAACGAAGGTCGGTGAAAGCATTTTTCTATCTCAAAAACCATTAAAAATCAGTATAAATCATATTTCTATTTGCCATAGATTTCATATTAACTATCTAACAAAACAATTTAATAATTTTTTTGTTCTAACTCAATCATGATCGATTAACAACATTGGTTCTTCGAACCTGATTTCATTGCCTTCTACTAGCCTAGGGAAAGAAATCAAATATTTTACTCTATTAATGTCATTACATTAATACATTTGATTATTATTATCACGTATATTTCAGGGTATCTGATTTGTACTCTGATTGTGATTGTGGTAAAAACTTTGTCGGCACTGCATCATCCCTGAAAAGGGGGTTTTGAAAATTTTAATAATTCCAATAAATAAATAAAAATAATCCTCTCTCCTTGTTTAATATTTCTATAATTCTGAATAAGGTCAACAAAATATGAATAAGGTGGGTCTCTTTTTTGACCGTTACATCACTAAGCGAGGAATATTTTTATTTTTGGGTTTGGAACAAACTTTCAGCGAGAAAACTATAGTCAATCAGTTCTTCCACATTAATTAAGTTAGCATTTTTACACACTTCCAACAGTTATTTGAAAAATTGTCTCAAAAGACAATTGTTACAAATGATCACTGGCGGGCAATTTTTCCCGCTTACCTCAAAATATTTTAGGTACAGTATAACTAGTGCACAAACTAGCGTATTAAAAATTCCATTTACTATTTTGAACCAATAAATTCTTTATTTTACTAAAATAAAACCATTACACATTCCTAGAAGCAGAGACTCAATTAAGTGTATTTAGAGAGCATAACAAGGAGTAGGCAGTAGGCCTATACAAAAAAAAAGGTAAGTAATATTTCAAGCCTATACCCTTTACTCTACTCAATTTTTAAGATAATAATTTTTTACAATAATATCAAGAATAATGTATTCTTATCCTTTAATATAATAGACTAACATTTTTTGAATATCATGCTACAAACAACATGGTGTGGGCATGAGCGATGGAACGATGGAATGTGAAGTAGTGTCACTCGCCACTTCGTGATGAATAATAAACGACCTGATGGGCTTATTGAGATTTTTCGGACTAATTAAGGAAGTAGAACTATGAATAAAAAATTTTCTCGCTCAAAGTTTTTTCCTATCCAAAAATATAAAAAAATCCTCCCTTAGTGACTTTTTGAAGTTCACAAGTTTGTAATACTTAGCATTTTTTCGCTTAAACAAATTATTGTTGATCATAACTAAAATAATTTTTGACCATCAGACTCTGTAGTTTATGCAGATTACAACGATATAAGTTTCATACGGACAATTGAATTGTGTAAATGTAGGGAAGCGTGTAAACTATCAGTATGTATATGGGCCGCACACTAGCTTGACCTGTGGAGTCCGTGCGGTGACGTTACAGCCACACGGCAGTGGAACCACTTTGCTCGTCGATGTGAGCCGGCCCCCTTAAAATAGCCCCTGCTAGCTACTATCCTCTTTATTCTACAATTATTCATCATTTTAATCTTCAAATTAAATCACTTACTTAATCCTCAAGCTGTTTGGTCTTTTAAAACCAGGTATACAATAGATATGTGGTGAAATTTAGTCCAAATAGGGTTTGGGTCATATTGCTTCAGTTATTCAGAATGTTAGGTGTTATGAATAACTTAGCTTTGTAGTCCAATACTTCTTGAAAAAAATATTTTGTAGTCTAATACTACTTTAAGAAAATAATGTTTACTTGCTTAAGAATATTGTCACTCATATTCTATGTTTATAAAGTTCACTAGCCACAGAGCTCGTTGTGGTTAAATACAACAGTCTCTAGGAAAATAACAGTTATGAAATCCATACACCACTTTACTCACTTATATTAATGGTACAGATTAAGCACATAACTTTAGAAACACCCACATATCATAAGGAACACACTTTAACCACAAATGCAAATTGTGAACAACAACATGCAACCAAAGAAAAAAAATATGATATAACAATACAACAATCAGCTGTTAAATTATCAACACAAGTTTCATATGATTGGATTATGCATACCGGCAAACTTACCCATTACTGCCATAAATCTTAAAAAAATCAAACATTCATAATTATTTACAAATCTACATGAATTAAACTTTCCATTGACCTATTATTTAATAAAATCTGTCAAGTAGAACTGTAGATTCAGTTCTACAAAGCATAACAAAAACATTAATTCAGTATTTTCTATTGGCAAATTTATTTATTTCATACTATACTATTGACGTTTGGTCAAAAAACACTTTTTACCTTCCCCCTTGCAGCAAACCTAAGCACTCATTAAATCTAATGCTATTTAAATTGGGAATAAATATGTCTTATTTATGGAAATATTTTAGTAAAAATCTAATCAGACAAGTGGAAATTCGCTTAGTCTGCAGGATTGCTGCGGCGAGGGTATTTTACCCTTTCACTACAAATGTTTAATAAAATAAAACTTTCATAATTAATTATTTGCAAATCTACACAAAATGTGAAAACCCCCGTTTCCAATGTATTTCTTATGTAAAACATGTTTAAAATTTTGTTTACCATAAATCATGTCAAAAACTTACTTTCCAGTTCCAGTGGAACTCTAGATTTAGTTGTACAACGATTTTTAAAACTGAATTATAAATAAGTAGATATATAATGGATAAATATTAATTTTTTTTTGTCTTAATTATGTCCACCAATGATTTAGATCTATCATAATTACAATGTAATTTTATGTCATAAAAGTTTATACATTGTCTTTCACTATTTTGAAGGATAAATTAAAGACATGAAAAGACAAAGGCGAATAACTAAAATAAGGTAAAAAGTAAGCTGAATTTCTACCTGCTTGAAAACTTAGAAACAGCCATAATAGGGCCAAAGGCTTCCTCATTGGCAATAAACATATGATCTTCAACATCACTAAAGATGGTAGGCTGAAAGAAATAGCCTGGTCGATCACAACGCTTCCCTCCAAAAACTAGTTTTGCTCCCTCCTTTTCTGCAGCTCTGCAGTATTTCTCAAGCTTTTCCAAGTGAGCCAAATGATTCTGAGGTCCATGCTGAGTGTTACGGTTTAGTGGATCTCCCACTACCTAATCATTTAAAGGGGAAAATAATAAAACTTATCTGTATTGGATAGAATGTATTTTTTTACAATATCCGATTTTAACAAACAAGGTCTAATTTGGTTTGGAATTAAATTCTCTATCTTTTTTGATGTGAAAAACAATTTTCTTAATATTAACGGTTTTCATGAAATTTGGCATTAAAGATTTTAAATTGCTGCCATATTGAAACGGCTTGAGATATTGTAACAAAACTTTGTGAGCTCTTTTTACCTACTAAAATATATACATTTATACCAATTTTGAAATTTCTATCTTGAAAAATGCCCAAGATATAAAATAATTCTTAAAAAACACAAATAGGCCGACAATCAGAAATCTAGGCATTTTATGTTTGTCTTAGCCCAAGGAACAAGTCTACAAAATATGTCCAGACAATTTGGAAACACCCTGTATATTGAGTAGGGTTGGAAGACACTCTTTATAATATCTGTACAGGGTGTTAAAAAAAGGTGGGGACATATTTTACCTTGTGGTTCCTTAGGTCAAAATAAAGAGAAAATCAAGAATGAAATTCTTTCCAAAGTCGCTTTGTTAATCAGATATCCGCCATTTTGTATTTTTTACATAAACATTTTTATCTTTAAATATTTTCAACCGATCTTTATGAAACTTGGTATGTATGTTAAGGTAGAAGAGACTCGTGTGAGGGAAAAAAATAATTTTGATTAAACCCAAAATTTCAAAATGGCAGCCATTTAAAGTTTGTAAACCTAAATTACTCAAATATGGCTGATTTTGTGAAAAAATGTCAACAACATTTTTATTTAGCATTTTTAATCATCTATCAAACGATACCAAGTTTAAAAAGAGTGATAAAGAAATAGCTGAAATATTTAGATTTTTTAGTTGTAAAATGGGGTAGAATAAGGCAGAAGCTGGTTTGCCCCATTTTACAACCAAAAATCATAATATTTCAGCTATTTTTTATTCGATATTTTTGAACTTAGTATTGTTTGATAGATAAATAAAAATGATAAATAAAAGTGTTCTTAACATTTTTTCATAAAATCAGCCATTTTTGAGTAATTTAGGTTTACAAATTTTAAATGGCCACCATTTTGAAATTTTAGGTCGAATCAAAATGATTTCTTGTTCTAACCTTTTTCAATTGATCTATGAAACTTTGTAACAGGTCAAAAATTACTGTGGGGTAATATCCTAAATAATCAACTCATCCTAAATACGTTGATTTGTTTCACGAAAAGGCAGCGACGAACGCTGGACCTAGTGACGTCATATGGAGTGGATGACGTAGTTCTCAACCCCGACGCCAGGGGCGGTAGGAGAGAACCGCTCAAGTAGCGCCCCGGGGCAGTCAGTCATCCTTCAAGTACCATTTCCAGTACCATTTAATATAATTATTTGAAGTTATATTTCGTATTTCGTCAATTACGCATGTTCAAGGCAGGAGTCTACGCACACGAGTAAGTGTAGATTCTATCTTACACGAAGCTTTGGTGGATACCAAGCATTATAACCGTTTTATTATTTCAATTTGTGTTATAAACACCACGTTGTATCGACCGATTAAAATTAGTAATTATATTAAATGGTACTGGCAAATAAATATAGCATTAACGCGTGGCTCAACACTTACCAGTTTTCGTATCGTCTCGTGATTTTAATATCGGCTATTGCCAGATATTTGGTTGTAGCAAAGGTTTCGTGGTTGTAGCAAAGGTTTCGTGGTTGAAGGACGACTGACTGCACCGGGGCGCTACTTGAGCGGTTCTCTCCTACCGCCCCTGGCATCGGGGTTGAGAACTACGTCATCCCCTCCATATGACGTCACTAGGTCCAGCGTTCGTCGCTGCCTTTTCGTGAAACAAATCAACGTATTTAGGATGAGCGTGAAATATTACCCCACCGTAATTTTTGACCCATTACAAAGTTTCATAAAGATAAATTGAAAAAATTAAAAGATAAACATTTTTATGCAAAAAATGGCGGATATCTGGTTAACCAAGCTATTTTGGAAAAAATTGTATTCTTGATTTTCCCTTTATTTTGACCCAAGGAGTCACTAGGTAAAATAAAAATATGTCCCCACCTTTTTTAACACCCTGTATAATAGCACCAATATGTATAATCGTAATCGTGGAATTATTTAATATGAAAACTAGGTATAATCGAGATATGCAATTTATGGTGCATAATGTAAGCTGTAACTCACTAAAACCTTAGTGAAAATAATTAGGTTGAAGATTCATTTTAGCTTGAAGCCAATTTTGAAAGACATAAATGTGGATTTATACATCCACCACCACAAAATTATGCAAGAGAATATGTTTGACATTTGATGACTGAAGAGAAGATTTGAAAATGGAGTTTTAACCCCGAAACTATAGTCATCCACGACAATAGAGGACTGATTGACGACAGGTTAGTAACCTCATTTTATGTCATAAATGTGATGCTTGAGTTTGTTATAAAAAAATAAAAAATGTTACTTCTGGCTTCTGGCCTAGTGTTGAAACAATAACATCACTCCATACTATCATGCTATAATTGTCGTCTAGTACCACCATCAAGTTGTACCTACCTCTAGTTGTACCTCATAGACCTAGGGACAGCTAGTCATAGGTACAACTAGACGTAGGTACAACTAGATGTAGGTACAAGTTGACGGTGGCATACCCAACACGTTGTACCTGCAGATTTTTAAGAGGTACAACTAGACGTGTATGCCACTGACAATTAGTGTCACCTAGCTTGTACGGATACGAACAGTTGTACCTATGTCTAGTTGTACCTACGTCTAGTTTTTCCTACGACTAGTTGTACCTACGTCTAGTTCTACGACAGTTGCCTACGAATAGTTGTACCTACGCGTTGTTGGCGTCCATATAGTCTAGTTGTATCTATCCTTCAATTCGGTACCCTGTTTAATTGGTTACAGCACGAATACTTTTAAATGATACCCTTAATTAAATCAGAAACTGCAGTGTTCCCAGTCAATTGAGTAGGATTGACAAATATGTTTCACCGCACTACGATGTTTTAACTGTTTAAAAAAATTAATTGGAGGCTGAAAGCTACGCATTGCTGTCCAGGGTCAAAATGCCAGCTATCGTCGTCATTAGGGGATCGAGCAGGTCCTTACGACCCTAGGGCCGAAAATCAGATGTTCGCTTATTTACTTAAAAACATTAATATAGCCTATATTAAATATACAAGCAGAATATCCATATGAATTGAAACAGACTTTTTTAATTGCCACCGCTGCCTAGCAACTATTTATTATTATTTTTGCTGATTCCTTTAAATATTTCTTCACATAACCTTAAAGTGTTAGTTGTGTTGATTAGTGTGCATTTATTGTATACTAGAAGTATACTACAGACTCCTCTATTTTCACCCAACACTGTAAATAAAACATGTGATTGGAATGTTTTCCATTTGTTTTGATTTTCTGTTTATATTTCGTCACCAGCATAGCAACCCCAATGCTAATTAAGATCCATGTTAATTTTTTTTTTATTTAAAATTAATAAAAAGGTAAACAAGAGCCGCAACATATGTTAGTCAACGAATCATCTAAATGGCACATTGCACAGAGGTGCCCATCCCCCCCTAGACTCATGACGCACCCCCTCCCCAGTTGAGCACCAGCCCCCCCCACCATAAATGAGGTGCACAACCAATGTAAAACATTATTCCCCCGCCCAGTATTATTTGTAAAACTAAAAGAATATTTATAGATTCATAGATTTTTTTATATTCAAAATTCAAACCCACTTAATCTATATAAATAAAGTTAGAGTTTTGTCTGTACATTGCTCAGAATTATACATATTTTGGGTTATTTTTACGTTTTATACATTAAAGACGTTGAAACATGTCTTATCTCAATTTATGTCTATCTTCAGTATGATAAATATTTTTGGGCATCAGTCACCTTATTGAAATCAGGAGAACACAGTCCTTGTCATATCACAGTTCATTACACGTACACACTGATAAAAATACAAAAATAAAAATAAAACTACTGTAAATATAAAATCAGAGACTAAAGTTCTCAACTCCGACGTTTCGCCGCACCAATATTCGCCGCACGTGCGGCGTTTTCAAGGTTATTTTGTCTTCTCACGTAAACGTTGTGAGCGCCTAACCACGACTGTGTTCTCCTGATTTCAATAAGGTGAGTGATGCCCAAAAATATTTATCATACTGAAGTATTGACCTCACCTAAAATACCATGACGTTTAGAAATAGAATTATGTCTGTCTGTCACAGCCCAGAAGGCATTTTACGCAGCCTACTCTAAAGAAAACTAGAGTCCCAATCATGATTCTAATGGTTTAATTGTATTCACAGGATCGGCGAGAATGTCCTTGGACATTAAAATATGGCCTCACTATTTTGGAAAAAAATAACAGGCGATCAAATCCCAATTATGTGCGATTGTTTTCATGTTTGTTTCTCAATGTTTACTACATACGTGATTTATGAAATACTTATACTAATAATCTGTTAAGAGAATACTGCATACATGAAATTAAAAACAGCTGTTTGGATAAAACTTCCTTTTTCTAGCTGTCACCCATATGTTTACATAAATTAATGTTGTTTACGAATCCTTAGTAGGCCCTAACAATTTCCGATCACGTTTGTAAGCAAATCCGAAACTGAGTGAGATTAATAACCGTGTGGCTTACATAACAGGTTTGATTTATCACGGCTACTTATATGTAACTGTACATTAAATTAAATAACTAGCCATCATCTAGATCGGGAACCGGATATTCTGTGTGTATCAAGTTGTTCTTGAGTTTTGATGACTGGGAAAAAGACCGTGAATCAGTGTTGTACAGTCCACTAGTGTTGATACAGGACTGGGAAACTTATCTTTCTATATAAATAAAATTAGAGTTTTATAAGTCAACTCATTTTAAGGAATTTTTTATTACCCGAATATCTACATAGTGTTCATAACCTCTGCTTAACGAATTGTCAGCGTCTTTCTCTTGATATAACGACCCCCTCTCCCACATAATCGTTTTGGAAACATCACAGCTCCTTTGGTGAAAATGAAATGGAAAAATTACTTCAACGCTTGCCCCAATAATCGCCTGCTCCGTTTTACACTTCTGTCTGCTGTGCGCTATCATGTTACAACAGATTTCAGATACAACAGCTGGGGAATGATGCTCCAACCTAATTCTGCTCGATCCGTGGTGCACGGACGTAGGGTAATAAATTAAATAATTAACTAACACTCCGCCGAGGAGGTTGTGAACAGAGTCTCGCAAGGAGCTATAACTTCGAAACAAAATCTCGCCGTTGTTGTATGCATATGATGTGGGATGGAATCTGCGCTGGAAAATTGCTCTGGAGCGAGTGCCTCTCTAGCCAGTCTACGTCTTGTGTGAAGAGGTTCGATACCAAGGACCCTCTGAAGTTCTTCAGTTGGTACATCGGTATATGCATAACCAATCCGGATACCCAACATCTGAATGAAGCGAGCTTAAATTTGAGACAGCAAATCAATATGACCCAGCTGATGAGGCGACCATACCCCAGAGCCATACTCCAGTATTGGACGGACCAAGGTCTTGTACAGCAATACAAGTGACCGAGGATCTAGAAAGTTCCTAGTAGACCTGAAGAAAAACCCCAGAAGTGCATGCGCCCTTGATTTGATGTGGACAATGTGGTCAAAGGAACTGAGTGAAGGTATCAAGAATATTCCAAGGTCCTTCACTTTATCCATAGATGGAAGAGTACTCCCATTGATGAAGTATTCCGACTTGAGGATGTTCATTCCTCTCTTGAATATCATAACCTGGCACTTATATACATTTAAGTCCATGGAGTTGTTTTTGCACCATCCAACGACATTACCTATGGATCTCTGAAGGGTTTCTTGATCAGACATGGAGTGTATTTCCGAGAAAATCTTTATGTCGTCAGCAAACATGAGGTAGTTGGTGGTCAAGACCGTTCCAATATTGTTGATGTAAAAAAAAAGTAGGGGTCCGATGTGAGAACCTTGGGGACACCAGAGATTACAGGGAATGGTTTAGAAGTAGCTCCTTCACACTTAACGATGAGATATCTCTCCTTCAAATAGCTCTCCACCCACCTGAGCAACGAACCACCAACACCATAGGCAGCCAGTTTTGCTACCAGAAGGCGATGTTGAACTCTGTCGAAAGCCTTAGAAAAGTCCAAGTACACGCAGTCGATCTGACTAGAGCTACCGAATGCTGACATAACAAATTCTTGGAAACACAGGATATTAATGATGGTTGATTTTCCATCAAGAAAACTATGTTGCTCAGGTACAATGTACTTCTTGAGGATCAAGTATAAATGTACCAGAACAATACTTTCAAAAACCTTAGCAATCGTAGGTTGAATCACAATAGGTATATAGTTCATTTCTTTGTATGTATTTTATTTTTTCATTCTATTTAAACTATATAAACTAAATATACTGAGTTAGGTTGGTCAGTGAACGCTGGCTATATAGTCTGCAACTAAACCAATATTAGTTTTATTAAGAACTAATAAGCACGCACAAAAAAAGTCATACCTGGGTTATTTTTCATCAGGTTTTCAATATTGAGGTTTCATTACGTTTGCATTGAAGGTAATTAAGTAGTGTTTTTTGTGAAATGTTAATAGTTAAGTAAGAAATAAACAAATTTGTCAAAGTTTATGCAAGCATAAACAAACTACACCAGTTTACACATTCTACATAAGAATAACACAGACATTTTTAATTTCAGTTTTTTTTTCTCCGTGACTAATACCCTACAAAAACACTTCAATATACTCAATTAGTTGTTTTTGTAAACTCTAAAAGTAACCCCTTAAACTGGTGACACAATGAATGGGAGACACAACTAGCCGTAGGTACTACTGGTCATAGGTACAACGACACGTAGGTACAAGTAGACGTAGGTACAACTAGTCGATAAAACTAGTCATAGGTACAACTAGATGTATATATGTATGAGGTACAAGTAGACGGTCGCGTACCCGACATGTTGTACCTGCAGATTTTTAAGAGGTACAACTAGACTTAGGTACAACTGGATGCCTGTCGCACTTTGACGCCAAAATGCAGCAGGTACAACTAGACGCCGATACAAGTAGACAGCGAGCCGTATTGTCTCATATAAGTCAACTCACAATTTTTTTTGTTTCCTCCACCACCTTTTGCAGGAATTCATCATGAATACTTGATTCAACAAAAACACGTCCTGCAGCAATACAATTCTCACCCTTGTTGAAGAAAACACCACCCATACTCTGAAAAGATGACAAAAATATGAAAGAAACTATGGTGTGGATTAAGGTAAGAGTTTACGTTATCTATTTGATTATATAAGCAATCCAGAGGCTGAAATGATTGATAACCTGTTGCATTACATAGACTGACGATTTCCTTGTTAAGCCCCAATGGTGACATCATGGTTCTTTGCATAAGCCTTCTAGATATTGCTGACTTGGCAACATTGGGATATATCAATCAATCAATCAAAATAACTTTTTTTGTATTGCACATTGTGTACAGAATGGAGTCAGTTATAAAAACATAATATTAAACTTAAGACTACTTACAGAGAATGTTGTTACTATCAACAAATCAAATTTCAGGAAGTTGGAAAAAATCTTCTAATTTATACAAGGTTCTGTTGGTGAGAAATAATTTCAACAGTTTTTTTAATTAATTAAAATTAGTTATATTTTTATATTGTCAGGTAAGCTATTGAAATATTTAACACCAATATAAGATGGGATTTTTTTGTTAATCGATAAATTATGTCTGTTGAACGCCAATTCACTACCTTTTTTGCTTGAATACTTATGAAAAGAGTTCAATTTTGGCAATCTTTCATGGTTTGATTTAATATGAAGGGCTATTTGATAAATGTAAAAGCTACAAACAGTCATAATTCCTATGGTATTTCTTTGAATTGCTCTTTTGCGGATTTTTTAATTTTAGTTTTAACATGATGCGAATTGCTATTTTCTGAAGTTCCTGAATGCTATTTATGTTAAAATTTGATGTGCCCCCATAAAGACACAACCCAAAAGAAATGTGTGATACAATTAAGAAATGATATACTATTTTTAAGGTTTTTAAACTACTAAATTTTGACATCTGTCTTAATGCATATATGCATGAGTTGAATTTATTACAAACGTTTTCAACATGACTGTCCCAGTTGAATTTATCATCTATATGCAATCCAAGAAATTTTATTGTTTTAACTTCATTTAATAAAATTGTATCCATAAAAATATTAAACTCGGGTGAATTTTTGCTCGTTGAAGAAAAATTTATATACAGTAGACTCCCTCTTATCCGGACTCCTCGGGACCGAGGCCAGTCCGGATAATGGGTTTTCCGGTTAAACCGATGTCCCCAAAAACTCGTTAAAACGAACTGTTTACTGCGATATTCGACTTAAATTTAGGAGAGCATTGTATTTAGACACATGATCACTAGTCTCTCTTTCCCACGAGAATAGTCGTTTCAGTATCGCCCACTTCCTGCAGATCTAGTCCATTTAAACCAATGTGCTGATAAAAATTGTCCGGTTAAAGAGATGTCATTTCCCCCGAATGTAGTCCGGTTCAACCGATGTCCAGTTAAAAGGTGTCCGTATAAGAGGGAGTCTACTGTAATTAGTTTTTATTGGATTCGGTAATAAATTGATTTCATTTAAATATTGGTTACATTTGGTAAGCTCAACAAAAGAAGAGACTTCCACATCAGAATTTGAATTACCGGATATTTTTATATTGATGTCATCAGCAAATAAACAAACACTATTGGGAGATTCTATCAATGAGGGGAAGTCAGTCAAGTAAATGAAGAATAATAGGGGCCCCAATAGCTCTCCCTTTTACACAGTTACATTTAAGTTTTTCAAGAAGTAAATCATGTGAGACACTATCAAAGGCTTTTGTTAAGTCCAAGAATATTCCAACTACTTTTTCCTTTGAATCAATTGAATTAATTATAGATTCACAGAAATCGACTCCTGTGTCAATCACAGACCTTCCTTCTCTAAAACCATATTGTTCCTCATCTATTCAATTATTTTCCTCTAAGAATTTTGAAAGTTGTATATGCATAACTCACTAAAAAAATTTGGATAATGAGCATAACAATGAGATAAGCCTGTAATTACACATTTCCTTTGGGTTACCATTTTTATAACAAGGTTTAATTTTAGATTTTTTTTTATTTTTCAGGGATTATATAAGAACGTATATAACAAAATAATACCCAACATCTCTAAAATCTTTTAAAAAATTGCATACAATCAAATTTATTCTTTTTTTTATGCTAGCAAACTATTTGCTGACCAACAGTTTGGTTTTAGATCTGGAATGAGCACAATGTCTGCTATCTCTGATTTCATAAATCAGGTGTCGGAGGGTTTGGATGGGTCGCAGAGTACAGCGGCTGTATTCTGTGACCTTTCCAAGGCCTTTGATTCTGTAGATTATGATATTCTGTTGACAAAACTTAGATACTACAAATTTTCTGCAAAGTCATTGTCTTGGATACAATCTTACTTAAGCAATAGGTATCAAAGAACAATTATAAAGAAAAATGGTAAAACATTTTCCTCAACATGGGGTAAAATTAAATATGGTGTCCCTCAGGGGTCAATTCTAGGACCTTTATTATTTTTGATATTTGTAAATGATTTGCCCAAAAACGTTTCTTCTAACCTCATTCAATATGCTGATGACACTACAGCAATAGTTAAGGCTAACAATTCTAATAATTTGAAAGTAGAGCTAGATCGTTCACTACTAGAGCTATCCAACTGGTTTAATGTGAATGGATTGAAACTTAATAGTTCAAAAACGCAAATTTTAAAAATTTCAGCCCGCTCAAAATAAAAATATTTATACATTTGGTTTGATTTTTAATGGTGATATTTTATCCTTTGTAAAAAGTACAAAATTTCTTGGCTTACATATTGATGTAAACTTGTCATGGAAACCGCACATTGATATGCTTACAAAAAAATTAAACACTGCTTGTTTCCAAATTTATGTGTTGCGAAATATAATAGGTACCAAAACTAAAATTATGGTATATTATGCCATGTTTTTCTCTCATTTGCAATATGGTATTGAGCTGTGGGGTTCCACTTCCCACGCAATTAAAATATTTAAAATCCAAAAACGTTTTTAAAAAATTCTATGTTTTAAATCTAAAAGAACATCATGTAAGCCACTATTTAAAAAATATGAAGTCTTGACAATGCCTTCACTGTTTATTTTCAAAACTCTAGTAAATTTAAAAAGTAATTTTCATAAATATGTAAGTAAGCAGTTTGTTCATCACTACCCCACACGTTTCAAAGATAACCTGCAGTATCCAAGGCATCGGCTTTGTCTGTACGAAAAGTCACCCTACTATATGAGTTTGAGGCTTTACAATAGTCTACCAAATAGATTCAAAAATATTAGCTGCATAACTAAATTTAAAAATGACCTTAAACTGTATTTAATAGGAAAAACCTTCTATTCTGTATCTGAATTTCTGGATGACAATAATATTGGTGCACACTTTGGGCAATAACTCAGTTTATAGTTAATTTTACTTTAATACTTTTTTAATTTATGGAATGTTTTCTTTGTTTTATATTATGCATATTTGACAATGTCACCTGTTCCTCTAGCTGCGCTAGAAACTTGGAATGTATTTTTGTGTATGTGACAATAAAGTAATATTTATTTATTTATTTATTTAAACATTTTTTCAAGATAACTTTAGAAGAATTCATTATTCTGATATATGATACATTTATTATATTTCCAAATATTCAGTGAGACGTGGGTCTAATTGAATTCACTCAGAGAGTCAGAATGGTCGCCCGAGCCATTGTCCTGTTCTACCCTCTTGGTCAGGTAGCCTCCTTCAACTTAACACAAGACAGGTTTGGTATTAAATTAGTATTTAAATACTTAATTATATAATCGACAAACTAGTACAAAGATTCGATTCATCTTAACTATATACATACCAGTCTAACACTTTTATCAAGGTCAAAATCATCAAATATTACTAGTGGAGATTTGCCACCAAGTTCCAATGAAACTTTTTTTAAATTAGCAGCTGCATTTTTCATCACTTTTTGGCCTGTTATTGTGCTGCCAGTAAATCCAACTTTTCTGATATCTGGATGATTGGTGATGGCATTACCCGTTTCAATTCCTGTAAAATTGTCACTATGATATTATTTTAAAAAATGACTATAAAAGTTACATGATGGTATATGTATACAATTTTTCTAATACATTTATTAACCTGACAGAGCTGACATGGAATTAAAACATGAGGAATTCGTTAGAGTTAATTCACCATTCAGACATAAATGACAGTCATTTTTTAAAAATATTCTGGGTAAATTAAACACAATTTGCTACCTATAAAATTGTTAGGCACTTGAACGGTTGTTCGTTGTATCTGAGCCATCTAAGGTGTTGTCTCCCGGCCAGAAGAGGAAACGATAGGTTGAGGGATCAAATCTTATCTTGGTTATCAGTTATTAAGTGAAAAAGCAAATTGGAAGTTAACCTATCTAAGACAATGCTAATGGTTTGCCCACCTACAATTCTTCCAATTGCATAGCCAAAACATAAAAGTAGTTTGTAACAACAGTGTTTAATTAAATGCACAAGAAGGAATCAGTGTTACAGTCGATATCTGTGTACAGTACTAAGTATCAAAGTCCTGGCATTTAATGGCAAAACAAAAGTCCAATTCTGAGCAAAAACTATCTAGATGTATAATTCACTAATCTAATCTACTTTTAAAATTGTTATTTGTTTTCATGTTTTTCTAGGATAGTAAAATAGTTCTGTCATTGAAAATCTTGCCAGTTGTAAGGTGGGCTCCAGCTGATTTTTACTTTCCACTGCATATGATGTGCAAGCTCCTGTAGCTGGACGCGTACTGAGCGTAGGAACGCTCTGATACTAAGATGGTGGCGATAGCACCACTTTAAGCGGCACCAACGAAAAACGTTTGTTACTTAATCTGGACAGCCCTTGTAATTGCCTTTGATGAAAATATTCAATTTTAAGCTTAGGTATCTAGATGTATCTTGTTGATTGCTACGAATGTAAAAGAGCAGTACAGGGAGGCAGACTTGGACAAGACCATGGAAGACAAACATTGTGATGTTTGTTTAAAATTGTTCTGAGTAAAGAATCATGAACATGTTGTTTTAAGGAATAAATTAAAAACCTTAAAATACCTGTGCCAGGTAGAATGTTGATCACTCCAGGAGGGAAGCCTGCTTTGACGGAGAGTTCTGCAAACTTTAGAGCCGTGAGGGGAGACTGCTCCGATGGTTTCATCACAACAGTGTTCCCAGCAGCCAAGCATGGAGCCATCTTCCAGGAGAGCATCATGAGAGGGTAGTTCCAAGGTGTTATTAGTCCACAGACCCTGAGGCAAAACTACAAAATTTATTGTTTGTTCCAAATTAATTTTTAGTGATGGTAAGTTGTTATTTTTGAGGTTGCTATAAAAAAAAATTCTATTACCAAGTTTGAACAAGGTAAAAAAATTCCGTCGATTTTTACACTTTTTGGCGGTGATCCGGAAGGTCGCTGAGGTCGAAAATTTGGATTTAGTTTCTCGGTACCATGACATACAACACAGAAAAAATAAACTTACTACCCCATTTCATGCAAGGTAAAATGCACAAGGTTACTGGATTATTAATTAATGCTCCTTTTACTTGTTAATACAAGACCAAAGATAACATTCCAAAATGAATACCGTGTAGCTAATTGTGTGACCATAATATAGGTACAGTTTGGGTATTTGTTTAATTCCAAACAATTTCCTCTGGTGCGAACTTAAGTTGTCTAGGCAAAAGAATACAAATTACTATCTAAAACGGCAGTAACAAACAATGTAAAAAAATATTTAACGACAGTTTAACAAAACGAGATAAATAAAAAAGTGTTTGGGTTATGTATTTACAGGGTGTTGAAATTCAAAATTTCGAGCTTGTAGGCCAGACTCGGCTCGGCTTGATAACATGATGCTTAGTAAACAATGTAGGCTTACTGAGGTGTCAATGTCATAATGACATGCAGTTAGTACTTTTCAGGGGTGCCCATCCCTCCTAAAGGCTTATGATGCAAATCCCCCCCCCCAAAAAAAAAAACTGGTCAAGGCATAATCCCCCAAATCAGTATAGAGTTCTAGATCTACTCTGTGTATCAAGTGTCACTTTCATTGCATACACATTTTAAAACCAACAAAAAACAGATACAAACACATTGGCTCAATAAAAAATATAAAAATGATTGGTCCACAACCCTTTTGTGGCATTTTCCAAAAATTGCATGCTCTTCTATTGTGTCATGGGCCAATGAAAATCACCGTAAACATTGGATTAATACTCCCCTTCAGGGTTAGCAAGCTTACTTTGCTTAGGCCTCCTAAAAGGGTTGCCTCTGACTTTTTGGGACTAGACAGGCGAAGAATTAAATTAACGATAGAACTGATAACTGGCCATGGGGGATTCAGGAAACATTTACAACGGATGGGCTTATTTGATGGTGAACCGATCTGTAGGCACTGCGATAGGTCAGAGGAGACAGCCGATCACCTGCTCTATGATTGTGATAAGCTCTCTGACGCTAGAAGGATGATTCTTGGCAATGTGGAAAGAGGTAGATATCTTCCCGAGAAGGAACTAATTGGAAGACTACAGGCTTTCATCGGATGCCTGAATTTGTAAGGTCTATCAATGAAACAACTGTCTGGGGTGCGCAATAATTCAACTTTACGGATGAAGTGCTTTATAGTCTTGGCCTGCCTCTCTTAGATAAGATAAGATAAGGCACTCAATTTGTACGAAATAGCTCTTCCCCCCAAAACCTTTTAAAACCTACCCAAAAAATCCCCCCAAGAAATATTTGTATGATACACACTGCGTCATTCCCCCATAGAAGTGGGCATCCCTGGTACTTTTATCTAGAATCATAAACCTTTTGCTTTCAAGTATAAACATAGTTAACCTGTATCATAAAAGTACCATTTTATCTTGTTTAAATTGGACAGCCATAACTCCATAATTTGGAGGCTATAGCCCCTCTGTGGATCTGCCACTGCAATAAACATATCAAGTATGATTATCATTTCAATAAATAAATACGGCACTTAAAAATATACTAAAATAATACCCCCGCCACAGCAAACCTGCACTAAGCGAATTTCCATTTGTCTGAATTGATTTTCATTAAATAAAGGTTTAACGAGTACCTACCTAGGTTTGCTGCTACAAGGAAACTAATAAAGTGCGTTTCTTTAGTAAAATATTAATAGCTTAGTATAAAATAAATAAATTTGCCACGTTTGATCAAAATATATCCATAAACAAGCAAACTACAACATTTTACAATATGCTCCATAAGAATAACATGGGAATTTTAAATTTACAATTTTTTTTATTTTTTTCCGTTAACAATAACCGAACAAAAATACTTTTATATACTAAATTATTTGTTTTTTTTAAGCTCTTTAAAAAGGTCTAAAGAGAAATTGGGAAATTTTGTGTTTTGAGGGTCAAAAGTGAGAAAAACCAATTTTTACCCCATAAACCCCCCCGTAAAACGCTGTTCCCATGGTCCGATCATGCTGGTTCGCGAACTCATTCAAGTTTATCCTGCTTTACACCTTTAAACCAAATTTCATCAAAATCAGACAAAATTACTCAAGTTATCGCGTTCACGGAGACATATATAAATCTATATATATATACATATATAAAAATTTGAACGAATGGTGTTTTTGGCCTCTGGGGACATCAAAATGAAAAAGTAAATCGGTCCCGGGCCTAGGTCTTACCATGCCACCTACGGTAATAGCTATTTCCCTATAGGGAAATTCGCTAATTCCCTATAGGGAAATTCGCTAAAAGGTAATCTAATGTAAATACTAATAATAGTGTAACTGCAAATGGTCATAATTAGAACAGCAGTGTTATAACAAATTCCAACAAAAGGTATTTGCTGCAACTCGACTAATCTCACAGTCTGAGCGCTCTTGCGCCTATCGTTTTTGGACTGAATTTGTCAACTAGTTGCATTTAAAACTTATAATAGTAATAGTAGTTTAAGCAACGATTGCGTAAAGATAGTGTTAGCGACACGAGTAGAAAATTTAAGGTACGAGCCTTGATGAGTTCCTTAAAAATTTCTACTCGTTAACACTATTTACGCGAGTTGTGTACACTACTTTACCTAAGACAGTGTTTTAATTAGGTACTAAAAATCACCACCTACTCATAACTTCTAAGAGAGGTTATGTTTATCCTTATATAACCAACTAACATCCATGAAAAAATCAGCCTTTCACTAATTAGTTCCAACACAATATCTTTATTGACTGGGCTATATCTGTTGAGAGCCCTCCCACACGTTTTCCTAATTGGAACAATTTATTCTGGAAAGTTAAAAGCAAAGAATTATTATTCTATCCTTACAGAAAATTGAAAGACCGTTTCCATTTGCCTAAGTAAATGAATACAAAGGATTAAAACAGAACAATGCTCACCCAATGGGTTCTCGCTTAGTTATGGTAAGGTTTCGGTTGGGTCTTGCATGACTGATGGGGATAGTGGAGCCGTGAATCTTGTCCGTCCAACCAGCAAAATATCGCCATGTTTCTATGGACATTCCAACATGTGTTTTGAGTGCCAGGGTATATACTGCCCCTGAATCTATGCTTTCTATCGTTGCCAACTCCTCTTTATGTTCCTCCATCAAATCTGCGAGTCGATGCATCAAAACCCCACGATCTCTACTGCTAATCTTTGACCACTCTCCCTCATAAAAAGCTTTTTTGGCCATTTCAACAGCTGTGTCGACATCTTTCTCAGTTGCAGACTGCACCTAAAGTTGACATCGTGTTAGTTTCAACTTTAAAACACCACTTATCGTTAAAATATCTTTTATGTACCTCCAGATAGTTTTCAAACCTATCAAAGGATATTCAAAACAAGCTGTACAAAAATAAACAATTGTGAAAAAAGACCATAGACAGGAATAGGCTGTGGTATTTTGGTCTAATGCAAGTTTAAGTTCAAGAGAGATAGCAGATCAAATATTCAAGTTCTATGTACTGAAATAAATAAGGTACTTTACTAAATCAACTTTCTATTTTCAGCACTTACCAAACTGTTGTATTAAAATCCTGTAAATTCTAGATTAGATTTGATCCCAAAAACACTAAAATTATTCATAAACATCATTGTGCCCGGTCAACTTAATGAAGGTAATGACACTTTTTGGCATGAACCTATTTTCCGTGTCACTCGTCTTGTGAGATTAAACTTATTCAAACAATATCTACTCAACAACAGTGATTGTTTTTAGCAATTTTGTTCAACTACAATCGATATAAAGTTTTATACCTACTCTCAATAATCTGAATAGTTACAAAAATGGATAACTGATATTGTCGACTCCAGCTGACTTTTTACTCCCTCCCTAGGGAGAAAAAGAGCTTCTTTAGAACCCCCAACCTATGCATTAAAAACAGCTATGTTTGCTATAGTATGACAAAAAAATTTTAAATCCACATACATTTTTTATATTTTTAAACCTTAAATGTCAGAGCATTTATATACCAACCTTACATATGACAGACTCATCCGCAGGATTTATACAGTCAATTGATCCATTTGACTCAGAATCAACAAAATTGTTGTTGATAAACAACTGGTTAGGAAAACTTAGATTTAGACTGTTGGCACTGATATTAACTGCCGAATATTTCAACTCTTTTTTATCAGACAATCCACGAGCCTTCTTGATTACGGTTTCACAAAACTCTGAGAATACTGGTGACATAAATACATCTTCGTTTTGCAGAGTAACTTTAAGATTTTCTTTGATTTCTTCAACCAGTCTGCAATGCATTATAGTTAATTCATTTCTAACACAAATTTGAATGTAAATGATAATCTAGACATAAATGCAGGGGGCTAGGGTGGGGAGGCACCCCCCCCCCCTTAATCATCTTTGAAAGGTGTAAAAGTTGGGAATTTTCGGGTATTTGAAGCTATGAGTTGGGATTTTGAGAAGTTTTAAGCTTTGAACTTAACGGTTTATTTTCAAACTAGTCAGACATTTACCCCCCTATATACATTAATAATTCAAGTAAAAAAACTTTTGGAAATTTCATATGTTGAGTAACTAACTTACAGTATGTTATGTATCCGTGGTACACAGTAATTATTAAAGGTTTTTTAAGGATATTTCTTTCTTAACGAGGAGAGCCGTGTTCCATGAGTTTTAATAAAAAAATTGATTTTATGAGGTTGTAAACTTATTATTTAACATTACAGTGTAGTGACAGTAATGACTTATGAGAAACCTTCATTTTTTTGTTTTTAGTGTCAACTAAAAAGAGGCTTTAAAGGTAAAATATTCTTGCTGTTAAACCATAATATTAATTTGTTGGGAAATCTGAGTAATTTAGTTGGAAAATGTGAGTAATATAGTTGGGAAATTCAAAGCGTCTCCCCACTCCAATATTTTTTTCTTGCGACACCCTTAATGTATGATTTAGGGTCTGCGTAATCTTAGTTGTAAGGTGTTGTTGTAGAGAGGGAGATCTCAAAAACACAACAGAACAGAACAGAAACGGTCTGTTCTGTCATACCGACGATCGCACCGTGACCGCGGAGTCCTACCGAGAATCATGCTGTGATTGCGAGTCATACCGACGATCACGCCGTGACCGCGGAGTCATTTCGACGATCACGCCATGACCACGGAATCATTTCGACGATCCCGCCGTGACCGTGAGTAATAGAAAATGATGATGCAAATTTAATAGTTTCTGGTAGATCAAAAAATGACATTGAATATATAGGCAATCGTAGCCTTGAATCTATATATGAATATTTATCTTGAAAAAACTTATTGCTTAACTCAGAGAAAACCAATTACAAAAAACCTTTAAAACCTCATTTAAAAGTTGATAACAATTACTTAACTCAAGTGACTCAAACTAAATTCTTAGGACTAATAATTGATCAAAATTTATCTTGGTTGTACCACATTGATAAACTAAAAAGTAAAATTTGTTCAGGTCTATTTATGCTGCACAACTTGTCTAAACTCTGCTTGTTGAATGTTTTACTGAAGGTTTACTATGCTCACATAAACTCACATATTGCATTCGGCATTGAATTATATAGTGCAACAACCATTCAAAATTTAGATAGTATATTAATTTTACAAAAGAGAGCCATACGTATCATGTTAAACTTAGGAGAAAACCAATCAGCAAAACATTATTTTGCTAAATTAAATATCTTTACAGTGTAAGGATTAAATATTTATAAAACTATAGTTAATCTAAAAAGTGAAATGAATACACATACACTTCCGAAATTGGGAATGACACATAATTATAATACTCGGCATCGGAACTACCCAGCCATCCAGAGGCATAATTTAAAGTTTTATAATAAAAAACCCACCGCTGCAGGTACTAGGTTTTTTTATTCTCTGCCTAAAGATATAATGGAAATTAATAATATTAAGACATTTAAAAAGAAATTGAAAATATTTATAATAAGCAAATGTTACTACTCATTTAGTGAGCATTTTGATAATATTTTATAGACTTAATTGTATTTATTGACGCCATTCTGCATTTATAATTGTATAATGTAAATCTTGAATAAAGTGTTTCTGAATCTGAATACCGACGATCACGCCGGGACCGTAAGTCATTTTGACAATCACAACCTGACTGCAAGTCATTTTGACCGCGAGTCACAAGTTTCTATACCTGCACATTTTAACCTATTTTTTGGTTTTTATAGATCAGTGCCACAAATTGTAAAAATTGATTTTGTTTGTCTTGTTTGGTAACTGCAATACTCAAGACTTCCATATTATGCAAAGGAAAAAATCCCGTCCCGTCCCGAACTAAAAATTCAATCCCGTCCATCCTTAAAATAAACCTAATTGGGCATACATTTAGAGACAAGCAATAAAGAATGAATACATTAGTGAGCTACACATAAAGTTCAGGGTATTTACCGGTTAACTAAAAGTAAAATTGGGGACGTTTTGGGGACTTTTGGTGTCCTAATACAAAAAAAAATCAGTGACCTAGAAATTTGCACAATACAGAATTTGATTTGACAACAAATGAAAATAAACCAACCATAACTTAATTAAATATCAAATAAATCCTTAAATATAAATCTTTTAAGTCAAATCTGACAACTAATTCAAACTGATGATCCTTGTGTGTGTATGTACAGTATATTGTGTCAACTTAATGATAGCCTATTTCATTAAATTATATTAGCTAACAAGAAATATAAATAGACAGAATAAGGTTTAGGGGGACATTTTCATGTTAGGTTTAAAAATAAGGCCACGTTATACTTCTTTATAATCTTAAATATATTGGCCACCTTACACAATTTCTACCACTATCATGCTGTACCAATGCATTAATCAATCGAACTTGATCAGGAAGTCAAATGTTTAATATCATGTATAAGTGATCCATTTTCGGATTCTCTGTTGTATGATCAAATTTCATGGAATAAGCCACCTGGTTATATCCGAACAGGACTCAGCCTCATTAATTTAGATTGAGGTTTTACTGAGCCAGTAAAAAGCTTTACTGTGCTGTGGGATAACGTCTTTTGAAACATTAAAAAGTGGTATTGGTGAAAGGTAGCATTATCTTCTTAACTAAGAAAGTCTCAAATACGATATACAATAGACTCCCTCTCGTTCGGCCTCGGTTGGTTCGGACTTCGGATGGTTCGGCTGGCCACTGGAATAAAATTACTTTTTTTATTGAGGTTATCTTATCTGACTTCCGTTTTAGCTCTAGTCCACTGCACACGTGTTCACTGTTCAGTACGGTACAAAACGTTTGTGTGTGTACATTTACTTAAAGTAGTTGTGACTTTGCTTAGTGAGCTGATTCGAAAATGTTGTGTTTACTGCACTTTATAAGTTACTGTACGTAGGCTACTGTTTCTACCACTATCATGCTGTACCAATGCATTAATCAATCGAACTTGATCAGGAAGTCAAATGTTTAATATCATGTATAAGTGATCCATTTTCGGATTCTCTGTTGTATGATCAAATTTCATGGAATAAGCCACCTGGTTATATCCGAACAGGACTCAGCCTCATTAATTTAGATTGAGGTTTTACTGAGCCAGTAAAAAGCTTTACTGTGCTGTGGGATAACGTCTTTTGAAACATTAAAAAGTGGTATTGGTGAAAGGTAGCATTATCTTCTTAACTAAGAAAGTCTCAAATACGATATACAATAGACTCCCTCTCGTTCGGCCTCGGTTGGTTCGGACTTCGGATGGTTCGGCTGGCCACTGGAATAAAATTACTTTTTTTATTGAGGTTATCTTATCTGACTTCCGTTTTAGCTCTAGTCCACTGCACACGTGTTCACTGTTCAGTACGGTACAAAACGTTTGTGTGTGTACATTTACTTAAAGTAGTTGTGACTTTGCTTAGTGAGCTGATTCGAAAATGTTGTGTTTACTGCACTTTATAAGTTACTGTACGTAGGCTACTGTACATCATTATGAGTGATAAACGAAAACGTACATTTGTGACAATGCCACAGCAGTTGCAAGCTCTAGAGAGAATAGACAAAGGTGAATCAGTTCAAAGTATTTGTACAGATTTTGGGGTCGGTAAAAGCACCGTAAATTACTGGCGTTGAAACCAAAAATCAATCGAGGCTTTTTGTACGCATATCGAATCGGAAAAAGCTCTTTCATTACGTAGCACTTTAAAATAACCTAAAAATGAATTGGTGAACGATGCTCTATGGGTGTGGTTCATGCAGGAACGAAGAAGGGGAATTTCCGGTCACTGGCCCTATTTTAAAGGAAAATGCAGTTTTTTATCTTACATGGCAAACTTGGAGATGAGGGGGAATTCGTTGCTAGTAAAAGATGGCTTTCCCGTTGGAAAAAGAGACATGGTGTTCATTTTCTTGGAGTGTGCGGCAAAAAGTTATACGCAGACCCTGCTGGTGCAGCTGAATTTTCGAAAAAGCTTGATCAAGTTATTGCTGACAATAGCCTAAACCCGGAACAGGTTTACAATATTGATGAAACGGGGCTGTTCTATAAACTCTTGCTACGAAAAACATTTGCTGCAGAAACAGAAATCTCTGCCCTTGGGTTTAAGGTCAGTAAAGATAGGATCACAGTGGCACTTTGCTCCAATGCTTCGGGTACCCATAAATTGCCACTTTTTGTAATCGGGAAATCAGCAAATTGAGAGCATTCAAAAGCTTGGACATATCAAAACTACAAGTGTACTACCGGGCTCAGAAGTCAGCTTGGATGGACTTGAATGTGTTTAAAGAACGGTTTGTTAGTGAGTTTGTGCCTAAAGTAAAAAGTCGTTTGTTGAGAATAAAACTCCCTGTAAACGCACTTCTTGTTCTTGACAATGCGCCTACCCATCCGGATGAGTTAGAATGTGATGGTGAGTCTGGAATAAAACTGTACTATCTGCCCCCCAACGTAACAAGCCTCCAACAGCCAATGGACCAAGGGGTAATAGAGTGCTTCAAGAGAAAGTATCTTTCAGAAGTTTTGTACAAACTGGAGAGCGATGAAAACACTGATCTTATCCAAGTGTTAAAATCAATCAACATGAAGGACGTGATTTTCATGGTAGCAAAAGCCTATGACGAAGTACAATCTTCAACGTAAAGTCGTGGAGAAAGGTATGGCCGAATGTTGAAGAAGTTGTTGCAAGTGAAGGCAATGTTGTTGATGTGCACAGCCTTGAATGTGAAGCAGACGACCAAGCTTATATCCTAAATAATCTACAGCAACTGCTATCACAGTGAAAATATTGAGCTAGAAGATGTTTTGG